AGGGTTTAGTAACTTGCTCAGGGTCACACAGCTAGTAAGTGTCAAATGTCTGATGCCGGATTTGAACTCAGGTCCTCCTGATTCTATCCACTGTACCACCTAGCTGCCCCTCCCCTTTTTTGCACATTTTTATACTAGAAATTCTACTCTATATGGAATATAGGAATTTATTTTTGTGAAAACTCAACTTGCATGTGTTATGAAAACATGAAGTCTGAAGGGGAAGAGTGACACTCAGGAGACAATTTTCAAACTTATCCCAGGCCATATGAAAATCTTGTCCTGCTTTTGCCATATATCTTCTTTAGACACCAAGCTCTCATCTCTGTATCCCTCCTTGTATAATGTAAAGAAAACTGAATTTGGAATTGACATACCTGGAACTGAATTTTAGCTTTGCCACTTACTGCCTGTGTGACCCTTTAGGCAAATTAGTTTCTTCATTAAAAAAAATGAAGATAATAGACTAAATGGCCTTTAAGGTCCCTTCCAGCTTGTGATCCTGTGATCCTATCACCACTCTCAGGTACCCAATGGGATTTGAAAATGTCCATTTCATTTCATTTAATCAGCAAAGAAATGCAGCCAGTTCTGCATGAGAGTGGATCTGCTGTTAAATCACAGCAATTTAAGAAAACAAAACATATTTCAGTTAAAAATATTAAATGCCTAAGAATTCAATACTTCCTTCTCCAATCCCCATTTCCTATTTTTCAAATTGTTGGTCTGGAATCAGGGGAAGTTGGATACGTATTGGAAATAGTCAGGATCCTAGGTAAACAAGCATTGACCTTGGGAGGCAGTATGGTGGAAATCCCATCTCTGATCCTTATTAATGGTATGGCCATCGACAGGTCATTTAACCTCCACGTGTTTCAGTGTCCACATCTATAAAATGAGTGGGTTAGATTAGATGACTTCTGAGGTCAACTTCACCTGCATATCTATGATCCTATGATCTGAAAGATGAGGAGGTGAGACTATAAGGTTTCTGGGGTCCCTTCTATTTCTAAATCCTTTGAGTCTATGAAAATTTCTACTCCAACAATATGCCTTTGGAACGCTTTTCTTACAATCCTACATTCATTCTCCTGCTAATGACAACACCCATATTCTCAGAGATTTTGAAATATGAATATGAAATATAAATAGAAATATATATTTGAAACACAAAAAGGATGAGGCAAAATCCATTTAAAACTTGTTCTTCAGTAGCACCTGACTCTTTATGACCCCGTATGGGGTTTTCTTGGGAAGGATGCTAGAGTGGTATGCCATTTCCTTCTCTAGTGCATTAAGGCAAAAAGAGGTTAAGTGACTTGCCCAAGGTCACACAGTGAGTGTCTGAGGCCACATTTGAACTATGGTCTTCTTGACTCCAAGCCCAGCACTTTATCCACTGAGACAGCTAGTTGCCTCTACTTAAAACTAATGTTTCTCAAAGTATAATTCAGCCAATTCATATTGTATTTGGTAACCACTATTTTAACTGAAGACAACAATGACTACATTGGGGCAGTATATCACAGAATGTTACTAATAAGCTAATGATTTACAAGAAAATGAAAGTACTTTTATTTTACTTAAATGACAATGTGTCTCAGTCTTCTCAAGATAAGTTATGCAAATCAAATCGAAAACAAATATCTTGGCCTCCAAGATAACCTGAGGAAATGAGGAGAGTAGGAGAGGGAAAAAAGGATAAAAAGGAAAATGGAAGATGCTAAACAGACCTGCACTCAGTTACCTGGGTGATTCGTGTCTTCTCTCTAGTCCTTAGTTTGTTCATGAAAGAGGTAAACTAGATGATCTCTAAAGTCCCTGCCATCTCTGGACAGGCAGAATGATCAGGCAGAACATAGATAAAAAGAGGTACTAGTACCTTAGAAATATAGTGTTGGAAACCAAAGAGATGTTGGTGAATTGGATAAATGGGAAATGGTCAAAAGCAAATAGAATTAAAGTTCAATGATGAATTGATGCAAGAAAATAGTGCATTTAGGAATGAAAAGTAAGCTTTTTCAAAGAAAATCTGGCTATATTAAAATATGACAGAAAAGAATTGGTGCAATAGAGAGAATAGGCTTGAATAGAATGGATAGGAGTCAAGGAGAGCAACTAATCCAGGCACTGGGGATATAAATGCAAAGAATGAAACAATTCTAACTCTCAAGGAGGAAGAAAAGAGGGAAAGAAAGGAGGGAGAGAGGAAGGGAGAAAGAGAGGGAGGAAGGAAAGAAGGAAGGAAGAGAGGGAGGGAAGAAAGAAGGGAGAAAGGAATAAAGGAAAGGAGAGAGGGAAGAAGGGAAAAGGAAGGAAAGAAAGAAGGAAAAAAAGGAAAAGAGGGAGAATGGAGGAAAGGAAGGAAGGAGAGAGAAAGGAAGGACTTATTAAGTGCCTTCTATGTACAAGATACTGTGTTAAGCATTCTACAAATATTATTTCATTTGATTTTCACAACCACCTTGGGTGGTAGGTACTATTATCATCCCCATTTTATAGTTGAAGAAATCGAGATTGAGTGGCTTGCCCAAATTCATATTTGTACGGTAAGTGTCTGAGGGCAGATGTGAACACAAGTCTTCATGGCTCCATATCCAGCATTTTATCCACTACATGCCACCTTGCTGCCTCTAAGACAACAAGCACATATAAAAGTATAGAAAGAATAAATGTAAAGATGAAGAAACAGTAATCTAGGCAAGAGGTGATAAGGATGTAAACTAGAAGTGACATTATTATACATTCTTAAATAGGAGAACACATTTAAATAGTCCTACAAAACTAAGTGATTTACATTTGATAGACATAAGTGTAGGAGGGTGACTTTCCAAAAATTTCTTCATGTAATGCATTATTGTGGTACAGAGGTGACACTGACTCATAATGGTTATGCCAAGAGAGGCTACACACTGATAAATTCTACCCAGCTTTAAGGGCTTAGAGTGTTGATCTATTAATGAACTTTGAGTGTAAACATTCAAAGAAAAAACAAGCTAAAGAGACTTATCATGAGAATTTCAGACTCCTGGTGATGAAGTCTGTTATCACATCACTTATTAAACCATCCATTAAGGCCTGGAGTCGGGGTGGGGAATCTACAGCCTCAAGGCCACATGTGGCTTTCTAGGTCCTTGGGCCTTTTGACTAAGTCCAGGTTTTACAGAACAAATCCTTTTAATAAGGAGATTTGTTCTGTGAAGTTTAGATTCAGTCAAAGGGCAGCACTTGAGGACCTAGAGGACCACGTGTGGCCTTGAGGCTGCAGGTTTTCCACTCCTGGCCTGGAGGGGTTATAATCTGAGTCCACTGAGCAAATTCCTACACCTGATAAAATCACAGATCTTTCTGAAGAATTCACAATCCATAGTAGTAGAGA